TGAAGATTGCACCTGCTGTGAAGGCTGAAAGCGACAGACAATTTTGCTTGTGTTGATGGTGACCCCAAATCTGGCCGTTGTCGAAGCCAAAACACTAGTCATGTGCTGCAGCTCATCTGCGCTGTGTGCAAACAACGCACAGTCGTCAGCAAACAGCAACATACGGATAGTTGCCTCACAGACTAGGGTTCTCGCACCGAAACGACAGATGTTCAGCAACGCAATATCAATACAATGCTCCAACCGAACACCGTATGCACAAGCAGCATCAAAATCAGAAGACATCATGGCATGAAGGTAGATGTTAAACAGGGCAAGATCCAAGACGCAGCTTTGCTTCATACCAGAGACAAGTGCAAAGTCATCCACTCAGCTGCACCCTCGCTCGCATACCACTGTGCAGACATTCAATTAAATTTGAAAACTTACTCGTATTATCAAACTTTCCCAATACCAACCACAGTGCCTCGCGGTTCACCGTATCAAATCCTTTGGTGAAATCAACCAAAAGCGAGTTCTCTGCACTTCTACTGCAACTGACGAGCCGCAAACACCATGCTTATGGTGCTGCGACCCAAACGGAATCCACATTGCTCTTCCGCGAAGTTAAGTTCCACAACCTGACTGACGAGGCGGTTGAGCAGGATTCGGGCAATCACCCTGCTCACACAACTCAGCAAGTAGATGCCATGATAATTCGTGCAACATTGCTTTCTTCTTTTGCCCATGTACTATGGTAGCACAAGCGCATCCTTCAGCTGAGGAGGCACCTTCTCCTCAATCCACTCGCGTTGCACCAAGTGGTGCAGCGCAGTCACCGAAGCAGGTCCGCCGTATTTCAGTATTTCAGACGGGATCCCCTTGGCATCGGCACACTTGCCGTTTCGCAGCTGAGCAAGTGCTCTCTGCGTCTGCTCCACTGTCGGCATGTCTGTCAGACACGCCTTCACATCGTACTATTTCAGGCTGTTCAATGTAGGCCAGTCAATCTCCGAACGGTTGTTCAAGAGACGATCAAACTGATTTCTCCAGGGCTGCATTACGTCTACACTCTGTGCGCAGGCAGTGTCTGAGTTACCATCGATCAGCGTCCTCAGCGGCTCCAACCTCGGTCCATACACCACCTTCATTGTGTCAAAAAATTCATTGTGATGGCGGCGTCTGGCGTAGCATTCCATCTGCTTCACCTTCTCCGTCCACCATGCATTTTTAATGCGACGGAGCTCTCGGGTCAGTCGCCGTCGAAGTTTGCGAAACTGACTACTCTTCTTCAACTCACTGGGGTCTGCGACATGTGCAGCAAATGCTGCATTCTTCACAGTCACCAATGCACCAATCATCGCATTGTTCTCATCAAACCAATCAAGCCGCTTACAGTCTGCGCGTCCGATGGTCTCCTCGGCAGCAGCTGTCACCTAATCGCGAATGTGGTGCCACAGGTCGCCCCCTGCGGCTATGCATTCCACATCACAAGCGTGCAGCCATCGCCTTCTCCAGCTCAGTACGTTTCGCCACAGTACCGAGGGAGAGAAGGTTAAATATACGCCGATTCACGGCGGGAGTGCAATACATAGATTTACGAAAATATATGTACAGTTTGGTCCGCACCAACTTGTGATCAGTGCCACACTCAGCTCCACGCAGTACATGTGTCATGCGAAGTTCACGCATATCACGCTGACGGACGATGACATAGTCGAGCAGGTGAGCGTGACTACTCCGTGGATGCGTCCAAGTTGCTATATCACTCGCACTCAGTGTAAACCGAGTGTTCGTGATCGTCAGGCCGTGAGTGGCACACAGTGAGAGCAGCCTGTCACCATTCACATTCACTGAACCAATGTCATGCGGACCGATAACATCTGTTCACACTGATGCATCACGCCCCACGCGCGCGTTGAAATCACCCAGAAGAAATAGTCGGTCGCTCCTCGGCACAGACATCACGGAGGATAGTAAAGTGTAGAATTGATTACGCGTGTCATCAGGATAAGACGTGGTCGGACCGTACGTGCTTATAAAGGTGGCAAACTTACCTCTTCCGAGTCGTAGGCGAACAGCCATCATTTGCGCGCTGATGCCTGTTGGTTCACCAACCAGGTGCCCATTTAAGCCATCAGGTAGTGCAAATCGGACCCCTTTTTCACATGGTGCTGAGATGGTATTTCACACCCGGTAGAACGTATAGCCAGCACCTGCTTCATGTAACTTACCTTGCTCAGCGAGTCGCGTCTCACTGAGCGCCGTACTATCGATGTTGTACCGCACCAGTTCCATCGCGAACAGAGCAATACATCTTTCGGGGCGCTCACTCAACTTCCGGTCCAATAATTTTCGCACGTTCCAGCACCTGATGTTTAGTGCTTTGAGTGCAAGCATGCGATGGCATTGGTGAACAATCGTACACGAGATGGTGATTCAGCTTCGGAGTTTTGCTTGAGGGGCTCCACAAGACAGTGGGGAGCAGATCCAGCTCAAGAATGTGATTCTAGAGACGGATTGGGGTCCGCTTGATTTCCTTCACACGCAGCCTTTGAAAATCTGGAACAATTCATGTGTGTTTTGCGACCGTAGTAAGGTACGCACCTGTGACCACGATCCGACGCAGGTTTGTTTTGGCGAGTTTGCACCAATTGGACCAGGGGCTGCCTGGCTTGAGGCGGGCAGTAGCAAACCATTGAACACCCGCAGGTGCCCTCCCACCGTCAGAGACAATGCGTCGCGCTCGTGCTCAACACCAATCGAGCAGTGAGCTTATAACCCGTGAACCTGTTGTCTCCCATGGCTAGGTTTTACGGGAAGAGGGTCATCGACCACTTCCAAACCTCCGAAGAGGATGGACTAGGATACTGGCAGGGCGCCCACACCTGACAGAAGAACGACTCGGGCCCTCAGCCAAAACCTTCGATTATATGTACACGCGAAAGGCAGCGGGTCTAGCACATGGTCAGTTCACTTACTCATGCGGATTGGTGTCCTGTATCTGAGCTGGGAGTACGTAACCCAACTTGCACCCAGCGGTCGCCACGAGGAGGCGTCTAGGATATAAGCCCATGGCACAACCCTAGAGGCAGTGCGTAGACCATCTGTCAGGATCTGGCTATCACAAGTCTTAGCGCACCATAGGCTCTCCCCATATATATATATATATATATATATATATATATATATATATATATATATATATATATATATATATATATATATATATATATATATATATATATATATATATATATATATATATATATATATATTCAACTCTTGACCAATTTGCAATTGACAGAGTGCAACAATGCTTGGTTAACATACGACAAACATAGGGGAGAAAACTGCCTGGGGTGGTGAGTTTCACGGTGTGTTCACCATTGAGCGCTTTCAACCAGGTGTGATTGTGGTCCTTAGGTCAGCAACCGGCGAGTCGGGAGCGTCCAACTGCGGTCAACTTTGATGTCAGCCCACTGATTCCATTACCTCAAGTCGTGTGTTGATCGCCTTTACTTTGCCCCCTACCAACCCTGGTAGGGCCCAGCGGGACAACTGCTGATCAGGTATTCGAAGGGCATACCCCAGTTATCGAAGCACTACAGGAATAGTATGCAACTCAACGGTCGGCGGAGCTCATGTCATCTCTGTCCAACGAGTCTAAACGGAGGCGAAATCGCTTTTGGAGTGCAATGTTGGAGATAGCTACCCCGGAACTCCCCATCTGACTTGCTTTTAAGATTTACGCTTAATTCGGATGACTCGTTTTCCTATCTTTTACTCTCACGCACTATTGGTGGCAGTGCTTCAGATGTGTAGTTTCGTCATGATTGAATTATCGATACAAAGTGGATCCTACTTCTTAGCGATATGCCTAATATTGTAGTGAACGCTATGACGGCTATGCTGCTATACTGTTCCTCGCTCTTCGCGTCTGTGAACTCTCTTTCGTATCGACCGTTGGACATGACTTGAACATTTGGTAATCTCTCCTATCGTGTTCTAAATTATCACCCTCATTTGGCCTAGCTGACCTCAATTATGGCAGATTTATGAGAACGGCGTTGGTTCTCTTGTCCGGTGGCCGAGTGGTATGCGCGTCTGGTTTGCAACCATATGGTCACCGGTTTGAATCCGCGTAGGGGCGGGCGTCCTCGCGGTATACTCAACCCACGCGCGAAGTGGTGGTCGCGTGGCAGCGAAGCGCCGTTACGGCGTACAGCTGGCAATTTACTTTTACTTCCTCTTGTCCGTACACAGGCTCGGTTTATGTGTACACTTGTGTTCACGCGGTAAAGTCCAATGCGTCGCACCACCTTTGGCGTGATTCGAAAATAAGGTTGAGAGCGAGATACGCAACTCAGAGTGTCAGGAGCAGTGTAATTACATCCCCGGAAACATCGTTTTATCATTACCTGACTCATACTAGATGTTACTTCTATTCGCAATCACTGTCTTGACTTCGACGAGTTGAATAAGCACAGCTTTCCGTGTCTTTTTCCCTGCATCTACCTCAATTCATTCGTTACGGATTTAGTTGGAGTCGTTGTTCCGGGGGATATACTGCTCCTTGAATTTCTGGGTACATGACTTTTGAGATTAGGTGCGTTGTCTTATGTTACTTGGCGACTGAACCTAGATGCTCGTTTGGTTACCTTTGTGCCATCCCGCTGTATGCCACTTGTCCAGCGCATTTCTTGTTCTATTTTTTACCTCCTTGTTATGCTGTTCTTCATATGGCAGCTTCGTTGTCTTGTCCCACACGCCCCTTTGCTATACTGTTTCAATCTCTGATCTCATGTTAGCCGGTCAACACTATTGTTAATCTCTAACTCCTGGTAGATATCTCACTCTACATGGATGCAATCAACCATTTCCCAAATTTCGCCACACTAAAATTTACTTTCTCATTGTTACCACTTCACCTCTCATCTTCGCAAGTTTACCATCGTACCTCGGCTATCGCCACGCTCTACCACTCCCTTCTCTGCCCACATTTACTGACTACTTTTCAGTATGCAGAAGCCTATAAGAAACTTAACCCGAAATGTGAAGTTCCCACTCTGCTCATCGATGGCGTTGTTTTGACGCAATCAGTAAGTGAATCATCGTTTCTGTGGTATTGCTTGTAACAAAGAATGTGCCTCTATCAGTTTTACTGTGCATCTATAGCCGTTGGCTTCCACTTGTATGAGGGCAAGAGTGTAGCATTCTTCGCTTTTTTGTCTACGGCTACCTCCATCAGCTAGAGATGGATCCACACATAAACCTTGTTCTGCGGTATTTTATATCTCGAAATCAGGTCATCAGTAGTTCACCAGCACTTCGTTTTGATACTTCGCTGCCAGGAAAAGTATAATGGTTGCATGTGAAATACTCTACTGCGAGGTCTCGCACACATACGTAAGCTCCATTTGGTGACTCCGTTAGCTACAAGCCAGATGCCTGAAGCACTCCGTCACCGTCCGCGCTTGAAACGCCATGCTACACTGGCATTACTGTATCCCGCTCATAATAAGTTTCAGTGTGAACAGCTACTCACTGAAGTCATGCCGCGAAATCAGGCAATACTCCACTCCACTCCTCCGCATTCCTCCCGCCCATTTTTCTATAGATCGTCTGAACTTAGACTTGAATGATGCTGTCGCTGCGGTGCGATTTACTCACATCTGTTCGCGTCTTGTTTTTGTATGTCTGTTGAATCTGTTCAAACGCAACTCTCTCGCACTCGTTGTACTGCACTCTTTGACTTGTATTTTGCCTCCTCGGAGTGCAAGGTACTGTGATAGGACCGGGTCGGACTCATCTCTATTTCTTACTATCACTGGACAGCTGCCTGAAGTGGTTGTTCGCTTTAGCAGTTTACATCTGATGTGAAGTGCAAGCTTGGTGAGGAGAGTTACAAATTCCAGCATGTGACCAATGATGTTGCATTGATTAGAGACCCGGCCGATGGGCGCTGATGGCTTCATGAAACTGGCAGCGTTTGACCACCTTTACCTACGAATTACTGTCCATACTTTACGGAAAAAACGAGTTGGTGATATGGGGGGTCCTCACGTCATATTCGGTAAAAGACCGTCATCAGAGTACTCGAGGAATCCGACTCATCTCCACTGACTCGGTTATATGTTATACATCCCACCCAGCCGATTGCCTAGGCACACACTATTTGCCAACACTACGCCTAGTTGGATGTAGTCCAAAGGTTTGAAGGTCATTGCCGTTGCGAGGGTATAAGGAAACACACCAAACGACGGGGTGCGTTAACGCTTATTCTCTTCATGGACAGGGTCCTCTGCCTCGGTCACATGGGCGATTGGATACCCTATTAGATATGACACGACCACGAAGCCACTGGCGCCCTTGCATTCCTTCCCTTTTTTCTAACCTCCAACTGTGCCGTCTGATGAATTTACTTTCGTCCACTCTTTTACTATTAATACAACTACTACTCCTACTACTATGCCATTATGTGGATGTGCTTCATGTCGGCTGTATTCACCTAACCTACGTGTAGGCAAACTGAACTGGGTTCCGGACACCATCCGTTTTGTATTTAGTTGCTCTCTGTTGGCTATTTCTTTCCCCCATTCATAGTGTTGTGCTCCATTCCTCTAAATTTCATCCTCCGTTTCTCGGGTTCATATTCACATCTACGGCAGTTTGAGCGCATCGGCAACATTCTGGCTTCGTACCACCGCGGACTGTGACATAACGGCGAAACATCAATGCTGACGGCTGTTGTAGTGCTGATACATCCCTTGCACTTTTAATTTAGCCAACGGATATCACTGACATGAGCTGTATGCTGTGGTGACGAGGTCATCCGTATAACGAAGCTAGATGCTACGCGCTTTACGAGTCCGGGGTGTTGCGTTAGTGGGCCAAGCACCAGCAACTCTACTGGTAAGTAAAAACCACAAGGTAAACGCAAGAATAATTTATTTAGACAGCCCATGGCACTGGGTATCTATCTTTGTGATCGAAATGGTCATAAATGGCTCGTTTCTTTCAGACTATACTTGAGTTTAAGTTCTGCCATGCGACCGACTGACAAACCTAGAGTATGCGGACGACAGTTCTCTTTGGGTCTGATGCATTGGTTATGTAAAAACTACTGCACAGACTTGTGCGTAACGCTGCACATCTCGGCATGTGTTTTGTACCTTCAAAGTGCAAAGTGCTGTTGCGGGGCTGGGCTGGGTCGACACACCTCCGATTTTGGCTGTTTCTAAATAGCCATTGAAAGTGGTTGATCTGTTCATTTAGCTTGGTAACTATGTCACCACAGTTGGTCACATCACTGAAGAGATTACTTTGCACTCAGCAAGTTCCATGTGGCTTTCCAGAGGCTCAACCATGTCTGGAGACGGTGGGCTATCAGCTTGTCGGTGAAAGGTAGGGCGTATAACGCTGCGATAAGCCCGTTGTTGCTGTGTAGATAAGAGACCTGACAAATTCGCAATCAAGACATTAAACGATTGCCTATCTTTGCTCACCGGTTATTGCAGAATATTGTTCACATCTGGTGGAAACACCAAGTGAGCAATGCTGATGTCCGCCAATGGGTTTTTGGCAAGAAAACTTTCAGGAACCTCACTCGAGTGTTTGCTGAATCTTACTTGTTTGGCTAGGCCATGTCTCTCGTATGCTTGTTGACCGGCTTCCTCGGTGTGCATTACACAGACGAAAGCAAGCGCCATCTGATGTAGGGAACAGCGAGACTGTGTGCCATGGCATTCAGACGACTACCTACAGTTCGAACATAACTTGGCGCCTTAGCTTCCGTGAGCATATAGCAGAACTAAATATTTTAGAGAAGTTTTACGACTATATCCAAGTCGAACGGATGAATTGTTGGGTCGCTGTAATGCGGATGAGCTTTGCTTATGTCACCTTAATGCACACCGCGCCAGAACTTTCTTGGTACCACATTGAACCGCGGTGTCCTTCGTACCGGTCCACACTTCCGTGCATTAAAATGGAGGTACCCGCTCTAGTAACTGATCAGACACAGAGCCGATTCATGTTCTACTTTGCTGTCTGTCACCCCACGTGCGCTCGCACAGTTTTATTGCTTCTCTTTCGTGGGCTTATATTTTGCCATCTTAGTACCCATTAACGAACTCAGATCTACCAACTATACCAAATGGATCCTTTGACACAGGAAGTATTTCTGGCGGATTCGTATCCGTATCTTACACGCACACCCACCTCACTTTTCAGGTGCATATCGAACAGGCCCTCTCGGTGCTATCCACTAAGCTCTCTGCCATCGTTATTCGACATTCTGTGTGTTATTGCAGCCCATTTTACAAGTGCCAATTGTTCATTTCGTCCACCGTGCAGACCACGTCTGCCGATCGCATCTAGCCAGTCTGAACCGTTCGGTACGCCTCGTTATTACCCTGCATCCGTCTTTGTTTTCCATCTTGCCACTCCTACTGAAACTCAACCGCCGTCGACGATTTGTCGGAGCAGCTTGGTTTTTGTTGCATTCTCTTTCACAGCGTAATTTATTTATTTGACCACTGGTAACCCTGGGTATTTTAGCCTCAACGAAGTCTCTCCGAACTGAAAACAAAGAGCGACACTTTTTCCACTCCACGAACAACACGAATGATGTGTGAGATACACTGGGAGCTACGAGGCTGTTCTGCAAACACCAACTCCACTTCAAAATTCTGCTATTGCGGACTTCTCAAAACTCCTGCTCGTTGAGACAAAGGAGATATTGATTTTCACTGAATCCTTTAAAGATCACTTAGTATCGAGGTATCAAATCAGGAACCCATCAGAAAGGTTTGATCTCATTCGACTTAGAAAATTGGGGCAGCTAATAAACTATTCCTCCTATATGTGCATGAAGGGAATCCCTAGCTTATGAGTTATAATCGTTGACATCTCCGAAAGATTCAGGTTAGATAAAATAGTCTTGATACTGCTGCGAACTTAGGCGATATTGGAAATTATTTTCAAGTGGTTACGTCTAGAATAGAAAAACATCCATTAGTTGCTTTCCGATCGTTCTTACTTTTTAAAATGAAGAGTCGGCGGATCGCTTCATGCACATCTGGCTCCTTAGTGTCCAACGCAATCAGTTCAAACATGCTGATCGGAGCAGATCACACACCTCTGCGCCTATCGTAATCCTAAATGAGCATATCAGGTGTTTCGGGAACTCCCACCTAAACCCGCGAAAAACTGTCACACCAAATGGGGTAACTACAGCTGTCAATGCGAACGTCCTTAACTCATATCGAAGTTGCAACGTCAAGCATTGTCTCCCACGCCATAAGCGAACTGAAACGATACCTTAGTCCGACACTGGTGTTCCTATTTGGTCGAATTCATTCGGTTTCGTAATCACCGCTGGTCCTAAGAACAGAGCACAGCTGATCGGCAAATGCCCGACAAGCCCATCAAAAGACAACCACAAACACTGAAGTACACACCGAGGTTGATGATCTGGTGTGAAACTTCCGCCCACGAACTACTTCCGCAGTTAACCGATTGGCGACTATAAGAAAAATGCAACTATGCGAAATCGATAGCGTCGGAGACCGTGCCAAGAAACACCACAAGAAGACGTGCTACTTTGGGTCGACCAAAATCACTCATAGGTGGTCAATTCCATTTGCTTAGCACGCTTGCAGTTGTACGCTCACGTGTTCCACTTCAGCTCTAAAGATCCCCAGCCACCAGCACCTTCGAAAAAGTCGCATCACTTAACGAGGTGGTGGATGTATTGCTTATCTACGCCCACAGCTAAACTATATCTATGGATCGTTATTACTCGCTAAAGCTCTTCTCATCTCCTCATCAATTGTATCTGCAGCCTCCCGAAAGCTACAACTATCAGTACATCTTATAGCACTTCGGCGTTTGATTTTGCATCAGTGTTACCATATAAACAGAAGAAAAACGCTATGGAGCTTAACGAAAATAAGCTGGCCACCATCGCCATTCTCATATTTGCACAAAATCTCCTGTATGCTCTCATTTGGTGACTGGATACGATGGAATACTAAAGCAACTAGGTTGGCCAATATGTTATCCTCAGTATTCACCTTGGGGATTCGCAGCGCACAAA